AGGTGTATTTTAGTTCTGGTGTGGGCAGAGGCGTTGCAAACAGTGATTTTCTGCATGACCAATCATCCAGTGATGAATGCTCCTAAGATCTAACAAAGCCGTGTTTCAGGCTTTTCTTTAAAGTCCCAACGACAGAATGTACCAAAGCAGTGTTTGACGGGTGTCATTTCGTCAACCAAGGAAAGAAAAATCTCTGTGGTGACCTGGCTTGTGATCCCTGCAGAGTCGGTTAGCTGCTGTCCTCTCGTTTCAATTTTTTCCTCTCATCGTGTCAGGGATAGAGTTCAGAATGGTCACGAGTCACTGATAGTGTTTTGGCAATGGTACCGTAGTATGCCATGCCCTAAAACAGGAGAAGATAGCCTAGAGAACACAGCCTCTCATTGTCTATTGAAGAAGCCTGGGATTTTGAGAAGAGTTCCACCCAGTGTGCAAAACCATTTTTGGTAATTTTAGATCCTAGTGTAGTGGATTCGGAGCGGGGCTGCTAACCTCAAAGTTGGCAGTTTGAGCCCACCAGCCGCTCCACAGGAGCAAGATGAGGTGTTTTGTTCCCGTAAAGATTTCCAGCCTGGGAAGCCCTAGACAGGGTCGCTGTGAGTTGGAACAGACGTGAATGGCACACAAAAGCAGCAGCAGACATCTCGTGGCCACGCACATCCCAGATTAGATCCATGAACTTGCTTTGAAAAGACAAGTTTACTACCGAGTGTTCCGTCATTAAAATACTCTCCACCCAGGAGTACTTGGGAAGCGTGCGTGTACATGTGACACAGGACAGCCGTCCTGTATTGATGTCTATCTGCTCTTTGGAATCTTTTCCGTTTATTCACCATGTTAAAATGTAAGCATTCCATTTTTTTTTTTTTCTTTTAAGTTTTGATTGTGAATTGAGTGATAGTGTACATGGGAGAACATCAGCTTGACATTCATCGTATTTCGTTTCACTGTAATGATTACAATCCCTCCATAAACATTCTATTTTAAAAGCCATCACCATGGTAGTGCAGTTTGGACTGAGTTTCACCCCTTTGTAGGCACAAACTCCCAGTGTCTCTCCTAGTTACCCCTTGTTTTATGTCAGACTTACAGCAGCTATGATTTCTAGACCCTTTGTTCTCCTTGTGTTTGAACTTGGCTCTCCAGCCCTGGTGTGGTGCTGCGGGTTAATGCGGTGGACTGCAAGTTCGGTTTGAACCGTTAGGTCGGTGGTTCAGGCTCACCAGCTGCTCCTTGGAAACCCTTTACAGGGTCTCTATGAGTTGGAACCGACTCAATGACATTTTAACAATAACAATCCAGTGTGATCTCTTCTTCTGTCTTGGGTTTTCATTATTCAATTAGAATTTCTGATTCTAAGTTTATCTTCTTAAACGTTGTTTACATTTCTCTAGAAACCTGTTGTGTTTGTGCTTTTCAGTCTTGTTTGTGATTATTTTTCATTATATACATGTTTACTTCTTTACAATTCTTTGAGAAAATTTTCAAGGAGTATGCATGCACGTTTTAAAAAACTACCATTATTTCCTTGTTATGAAAGTCATATTCATTGTAGGAAATTTAGAAAATAAAGATGAAATAAATTTAAAACTGCCCATAATCCCCCCACCTGCAGTAAACGTGGAAGTTTTGAAGTTCGGCTCCCACTTTGTTCATTTTCAAGATTGTTTTGGCTCTTTTGGGTCCTGTGAATTTCCATAAAGTTCTAGGTTCCACTTGTCAATTTCTGCCAAGACTCCATCTGGGATTCTGGCAGGGATTGCGTTACGTCTACAGATCAGTTGGGGGGTGTTACCGTTTTAAGAGTATAAACTGCTCCTCACTTACCAACTGTCTCTTTATCTGACATTTCACATTTATGAACACTTTGAACCAATTCTCAAGTGGTACCTGTACCTCTCATGGTCAGGGCTTTTCCTTCTTGAGTGAATGATTACGTGATTCTTGGGGTGAGACTTGAGAATCTCGGTGAGTTTGATTCCCTCCACTCCCCCTCCACACTTCTTAACCACGCCTTTTCTTTCTCCTTCCTCTGGCCTAGGCGTTAGCTTTTCCTGCATGTAGATCAAGGTCCATGGGTCCGATGACACCTGTCTTCTCTACTCACATCTACTGTGAAAACCTTATAGGTGCCACCAAAGATTGAATCTATTGCACACTAGTTTTTTAGGATTTGGTATTCTGTTCTTGGCTGAAATTAAATCAGTCTAATCCTGAACTGTCTTCTGAGTGTCTTACCTTCCCACTGAATGTATTGCTCTGGGCCAATGCATATGGACTCCCCCTGCCACCTCCGTAGTGGAGTGAGGGTCCTGAGTTAATGAACTTGCAGTGGTATCCATTTTCAGAAGATGCTGGGAATATTCGCTCCTCCTCCATGGTCGGGGATTTTTCCTCTAACATTCTCATCATGATGGCTTGGAAAGCTGAGGTGCTATATAGGAAGAGTGAGGAACTCACCTCATTCTGACCCCAATTTTCTTCCCTTTTTATTTCTTCCCGGGGGGAGGGAAAATAAAATTCAACAATATAAAGGTAGCTTTCTAGAGCCAATGAGATAAATCAAGATTGCCAATCACTGACTATGCCCGAGTCCTATGTATTACACATGTGAAAAACGTGCAGCTCACGAGCGTACAGCGGTGTGAAGAGCTGGACCCTGATTGAATCCTACTCTGGAGCAATTGTCTGTTAGGTGCCATGAAGTCGGGTTTGACTCCCAGTGACCGATGGATAGCAAAACACATTGCTGCCCGGCCTGTACCATCTTCCTGAGCTTTGCCATGTTGGATGCTGGCGTTGTGGCCAGCCCCCTGAAGTACTGAGAGCCAGTACGAACGTGTAACGTCTCTAGAATCTCGTTTCTGCACCTGCCTCACAGGCCTGCTGTGGGTCCAGAATGAGAACACAGTGGGCATCCTTCACAGGACCGGGTGTCCTCCAAGATTAGAATGATGTTGCTCTTTCCATCCCAGCTCCACTCATTGCCCCAAAGGGACGCCTTGTGGCTGGGAAATGGGATGCTTAGCCCTCTCCGGACCCAGAAAATTGGGTCCTTGGGTCTTGGTGATTTGGGCCTATTCTTAAGGTTGTATGTTTTTCAGATCTTTCTTTCAGACTCTCCTTTTTTATAGTTCTTCCAGTTTACCACATGCTGCGCTTTTCAAGTGGGAAGGAACCCTAACCCTACACCACCTATCTCTTTATTATTCTAGTGCTTTCTTCCCTCACTAGAGGAAGATTCTGCGTATGGAATTTTCTCTGTTCCCCTTTTCTTAAAGTCTCTGTATCCTTATTTCTACCTATCACTCACCCATCCATCCACAAGCTTTTAGCTGCTACTAGGAAGGTGGAAAGATCAAAGCCATCCAGCGACTACATGGGAGAAAGACCCAGTGATCTGCGTCTGCCAAGATGACAGGCAAGAGAACCCTACGGGTGGGTCAGTTCTCCTCTGACACATGGAGTTGCTATGAGTTGGAATCCACTCATTGGTCCCTAATAACAACGGCTTCTTTCATCCTTTTTTCTGTCTTGTTCCAGGAAGCGTTGAGACAGCTTACAGAATCACAGAGTAAAGATGAAGCAGTTGAGGAAAGTGGACCAAGGCCAGGAAAGGAGGGAAAGGGTGTAAGCTCACAGGAGGGTTGCAGGTGGTGTGCCGTCCGCCCTCTGCCCTGTAGCTGGAAAGGTGGGCAGCTGCCAGGCTCTGAGCTTCTGTCAGCCCCGGTTGCAGGGTTTGTGTAAGAGGCTAACTTGGGAAGACAAGTCGGTTGCGTAGGAGATACCCAGCATTTACTGCGACTGCAGGGTAGGAGACTTTCTTTGAGCGTTCTATGAAATGAAAGAATTCCTTCTTTTTCTCTTTTTTGCTGTCAGTGGTCTGCGTCTAGTTGTTTACATCCTTTAAATGGCGATTTCTCCAAAACTCTTCCCATGTGACTTGGATGGTTAGGGAATTACGTGTTCTGTGTATGGATGACAGCTGGCCAGTGCAGGAAGTGACAGCCGTTGCGAGGATCCTCGTCATTGCCAGCTCAGCTTGCTGGGTGCCGTGCTGTGCTTTCCTGCAGTTCATGCCCTCGGAGGGCACAGTCCGATCCTTTGCTAGTGTTAGGAGCTTGATACCATAGGGAGTTGTGTGCCAACTTTGTCCTTGTCTTTGTCATAGTTGGCTAGTGCTAGTGTAAAGGAAATACCACAGAAGGTTGGCTGTAACAAACCGAAAAATTTCCTCCTGATTTAGGAGGCTAGAAGTCTGAATTTGAGATGCTGGCTCTGAGTGAAGCCCCTTGTTTCCTTTCATCATCATGGGCTTGGTGTCTCTTGGAGATCTCCATGAGTCTTGTCCTGGGTCTAGGAGTTTCTGGTTCAGGGACCCGGCTTCAAAGGATATGCTCTGCTCCTAATTCTTCTTTCTGGATGGTACTGAGTCCGTCTGAGTGCCCTTTGCTTGTGGAATCTCTTTCATATCTCAAAAGAGATGGACTAATCTTGCAGATTACATATTGCCTCATTAACAGAATTGCCTCTAATCCTGCCTCTTTAACATCATAGAGGTTAAAATTTATAACATTTCAGACATAGAGTAATTACATCAGATCACAAAATGGAGAATGATTACATAATCCTGAGACTCGTGTCATAATCAAGTTGACACATATATTTTGGGGACACAATTCAATCCATAGCCTCCTCTAAGACGACAAAGCTGGTTGTTAGAAGTGTGTCACAGACTGCATTTCATATATCTCAGTCAAAAAACTTCAACAGACAGTAAAGCTTATTCTGAGTTGGTGAACATTAAATACCATGTTTTGATTTTACAAACTCTTAAAGACAGCGTATGACCAAGGATTCGTTTTTAAAAGGTTAGATTATTTAGATTTCGGTAAGACATACTTATGTGTTATTTTGTTTGTACCCCACTTTTTAAAATAACAAAGAACCCAAGACATAAAAAGCAAAAGCGTGTTAATTTTTGTTCTCTTGGCTTGCAGGTGCCCTCACCACCAACGGCATAAATCCCGATACCAGTGCTGAGATTGGACGGGCCAAGAACTGTCTCAGCCCTGAAGATATAATTGACAAATACAAAGAGGCCATTTCCTATTACAGCAAGGTGAGTTTCTGACGTCTGTGCTGCTTTAATCAGAAGTTTCTATTTTGACATTGTATAATGCTGTGGGACTCCTTATTTGTCCTTATTTGTGTGTGTTATGTCTAGAAGTGTTTCTGATTTTAAACAATACATACTTAACTTAAAATTTGAAAAAGAAAACAAACAAGGCATATCACTGCCTTAGTGCCGTGCGTCCACTACCCATGGGTAACTGTTTTCATGCCCATTTTCTTGGTCTTTTTTAAATCAACGTACATAAAAATGGTGAGCACACTGCACTTGCGTGCTGTGTGGTGACCTGCTCTTCTCGTGTGATACACTGTTGTTGTCAGGTGCCGCTGGCATGTCAGTTCTGACTCATAGTGCCCCGAGCAAACAGCGGAACACTGCCCGGACCAGCCTCACAGCTGTTCTGTCTGAGCCCACTGCCGCCGCCACACTGTCAGTCTGTCCCGTTGCTAGTCCTTCCTCTTCTTCACTGACCCACCACAAGGTGTGTGTTTGTCTGTGGTATTATTATATCTTCCCTGGCATGACTGTTTTTTTTTTTTTTTAAGTTTTTTATGGTAGTTTGAGTAAAAGTTTACAGAGCCAATCATTTTCCCTTCAACACATATGGTTTTGTGACACTGTTTCAAGCCCTTCAGTGTGCCGACACGTTCCTCACTTTCTCCCTGTCTCCGTCGGTTCTTCTTTCCTGCCCCTTCCTGCCTTCTGAGCTTTGTTTCGGGCACACACTGCCCTTTTGGTGTTGTTCATCACTCTATGGGCCTGTTGTCTGGTTGAAAGTTGATTCCGAGAGGCCTGGGTTCAGTTCCAGGCTTGAAGGGACTCTAAGGGCCACTTTCTTGGGGATTCTCCGTCAGACCAATAAGTCTGTGTTTTTAAAAAATGGTTTTGAATTTTGTTGTATGTTTTCCCTCCCTCTCTGTCCAGGCCCTTCTGTTGTGGTCCACATCCGAGTGGTCAGTAGTGGCAGCATCACACCATCTCATTCTTCTGATCTCTGGGCAGTGGGGCTGTGGTTCTGTGGCCCAGCAGTCTTGTGGACTCATTGTCTCCTTGAGTCTTTGATGTTCTGCACTCTTTTTTCACTCCAGATGTGGAGAGACCAACAGCTGTATCTCAGATGGCCACTTGCGAGCTTTTAGGACTTCCGTTAATACTCACCAGAGTAGGATGTAGATCGTTGCCTTTGTGGGCCGTGTTACCCGCATACTTTTTAACAACTTGTAGAACATTCCATGTTAGGGATACATCATTGATCTTATTTTAGACTTAAAACTTTAAAAAAATGTACTTTTAGAAGCACTGAAATTAAAAAAAAAACAAAAAAACGGAAGAGACGTATTGCATAAAAAGTGAAAGCCCCCTAGCTCCATTCCCCGTATGAAAATTGAGAGCAATGATGATTATTAACAATTTGATATATGAAGGGGCTTCAAAAAAGTTCATAGAAAAACTCCATTACCTTTTAATTCCAATTTACCACAAACTTTCTGAAGTGCCCTCATCTTTCACGACCCTCATCTGTGTGTACAAGAAATACAAATGTAAAAATCTTATTTACGGAAACGGCATCTTTCTCCGTGTATTAGTCCACAGCTTACTTTATTCACTCAGCAGTATCAGAAAGGTCATGGAGAAATAACATGAAGAGATAACGGCATCTTTCCAGGAACTTTCTGACGCCCCCTCATGTGTCAGCACCTCCTCCCAGCCTACACCTGCTTTCCTCTCTCAGATAGTGTGGCATGCTCTTCCAAACTGTGGGTGCAGTCTTCAGTTCTTTATGTAAGGCTTTTTTAAAGAAGTGCAATGTTGGTTGTAGTTTACCTTCTATAACTGGTTTTTGTTGTTGGGAATACGCGTAGCAGAACACATAGCAGCCCACCCGTGTCTCCCTGTCACTTCAGGGACCCTGACTCCATCCTCCGAGGCCTACAGCCAGGCTCACCCAATTCACTGGCCCCTAGGGTTCCCATCCCACCCTTTCATCCCATAGAGGAGGTTCTTAAGGAGCTCTGGTAGCATAGTGCGTACAAGTAGGGCTGCTAATCTCATGGTCAGCAGTTCTAAACTACCAGTGGTTCCGTGGGAGAAGGATGAGGTTTTCTGCTCCCATAAAGGTTGATGGCCTGGGAAACCCTATACAGGGTCGCTGTGACTCAGAGCTGACTCCACGGCACACCACCACCGCCACCAGGTGTTTTCAAAAGTGCACAGTGCTCAACGCAGATACTCTTTACTGTTTAAGCTGGGGATATGCACGGATATTTTTCCCAGTTAGGGATGAGGAATTTATACCTCAAAGAGGTAAAGGTGGCTGCATGAATAAGAAAACACAACGCTGCTTTCTACAAGCTGAAGGTCAAAGATATCCTGACTTCTCAGACACGTTACATGCTCCGTAATCCTCGATATCCATCCCTTCTCCTCCCCTCCCTCGTGGCCTAGATTTCACAACATCTCACAGAACTGTCAAACGGCATGGCTTCTGCATTGGTGGAGGCTGCCAAGGCCAAAATCCCGTACTGCAGAGATCAGTTTGGAGGACTGTCCTTACCCACGTAAATTCTCGGGTCAGATGACAGGCTGTTGATCCATGAGGCTGTGGGAGCTGGAGGTCAGGTAAGAGACCAAAAGTCCCCCAAACTGGAGGGTCAGCTGTAATGAGCCAGATGTAAGATCCAAGAAGGCGAGCGAGTAAACTGCCAAAGTAGCCCTGTGAGTTGGACTCAGATCATGCCACCAAGGAGAACGAAGGCTGGTGACCTGAGTCACAGCCTCGAGTAAGTTGGTGACATCCTTACTCCTTGTTGTTGTTAGGTGCCATCGAGTCAGTACCGACTTATAGCGACCTCATGCACAGCAGAATGAAACACCTGGCCGATCCTGGGCCAACCTTACTACCGTTGCCACGCTTGAGTCCAACAATGCTGCCACTTGGTCAATCCATTTCGTTAGGGGTCTTCCTCTTTTTCTCTGACCCTCCACCCTACCAAACATGATATCCTTCTCCAGTGACTGGTTCCTCCTGACATAATGTCTGAAGTATGAGACACGAAGTTTGGCCATCTTGGCCTCCAAGGAGCTCTGGCTGCACTTCTTCCAAAACAGATCTATTGGTTCTTTTGGCAGCCCATGGTACTTTCAATATTCTCCTCCAGCACC